AAAGGTTAATATGTGTATAATTTGTGACCTCAAGATGCTCTTTACATTGAGGGTCAGGTCATTAAAATTTCGACCTTAAATGGCTCTTCACACCAAGGTCTTCTGAATTTCGACCTTAAAGCGCTTTTTGCACCAAGGTTTGGGTCATGTTAATAATAATCAAGCATCTCTCCGGGTTGGCTTCTATCCCCCGATGGGTTAACATGATGCTTAAGAACTTTCCAACCTGAACATCAAATGAAAACTTCTTAGGGTTGAGCTTTAGCTGGTATTTTGTAATCGTATCGAAGAGATTTTGCAAGTCCAATGTGTGAGAGTCGTTGTCAAATGACTTCACCACCATGTCATCCACGTAGGCTTCAACATTCCTTCCCATCATTTTCTCCAAAACCTTGTCCATCAAACATTGATAGGTGGCACCTGCATTTTTCAACCCTAACGACATCACTCTATAGTAGTAATTAGCTGTGTCTGCTATGAATGACGTCTTCTCCTCATCACGGAGGTGCATCCAAATCTAGTTATAGCCCGAGTATGCATCCATAAAGCTTAGTAACTTGTAACCTAATGCCTCGTCTAGCAAAAAATCGATGTTTGGAAAGGGGATATAAGTCCTTGGGGCAAGCCTTGTTCAAGTCTATGAAGTCAACACACATCCTCCATTTGACATTGAACTTTTTTACCATCACTACATTTGCGAGCCACACCGGGTATTGGATTCCCCTAACGTGTCCCATGGATAACAATTTTTCCACCTCTTGCTTAATCACTACAGGGAAAATCATTTCACTATCGTGCTTCCTCTCAAAAGTTGTTGATAAAGCCCTCCCTCTCTTTCATTGTCTAAAGAAGAGGGAAATATTCACCTGGTCGAAAGAGTGTGAAGAAATGTTTTGCCTATTGAAAGAATGCTTAGGGAACCCCCTATTCTATCAAAGCTAGTGACAGGTCTCCCTTTATTACTATATGTGTCCTTGTTCAAGAGAATGGTAAACAAAGACCTATTTACTTCGTCAACAAGGTTTTTTAAGGTGTAAAGGTCAAATACAACAAAATTGAGAAAGGTAGCACTTGCTATAATATCCACTGCTAGGAAGTTTTGTCACTATTTCCATAGCTATCAGGTAATAGTCAGGACCAACCAACAGTAAGGCAAGTCCTTCATAAGCCAGAATTAGCAGGTCGGATGATGAAATAGTCGATGGAGTTGTCAAAATTTGGGTTGAGGTATGAAGCTAGGGGAGTAATCAAAAGCCAAGTTCTAGTTGATTTTGTCTTAGAGCTCACCTCTCTTGACACCACCAAGGTGAAAGAACGACCATGGATCCTATTAGTGGATGGCTCCTCCAATCTTAAGGGCAATGGAGCAGGAATAATCTTAGAGGGACCAGATGGAGTCGTCATCGAACAATTTCTAAGGTTTGATTTCAAAGCTAGCAACAATCAAGTAGAGTATGAAACTTTACTAGTGGGAATGAATTTGGCTCAGGAGACGAACGTGCAAACCCTTGTGGCATGCAACAACTCATAATTGGTAACTGGACAAGTGGCAAGAACTTTCCAAACCAAGGAACCTTAGCTGGCAAGATACCTAGAGAAGGTGAAGGAGATTTCATTGGCATTTTCTACTTTTTCCCTCTCCCACGTACTAAGAGACCAGAACTCACAAGCAGACTTGCTGTCAAAGTTAGCTAGCACGAAGAAATCGGGCTCCAATTGATCAATATACTAACTGGTTGAACCACTTTATCGTCGTACCTATGAGAATACCTATGAATAGCTTACAATAGGTGGCATCAAATCCTCCCTTGATCAACATATGAGCTCAATAAGTCATTAGGTGTTCATCCGGGTCTTGGGTTTCATCAAATGGTATGATCCTCGGGATGGCCAAATAGGCGGACGCAACCTCATTTTCTATGACTTTCGGAGAAAGGTTGAAATGCTCTTGGCGGCTCTATCCCTCCTTCTACATTACCTTATCGCAATTCTATAATTTGAGCCTACAATGCTCTTTGAGCCTCCTCTAATGGTCCTCATCAAGATGACACATGAGTTCCTGATCCTCTTACCGTAGTCACTCGGACTCCTCCACTCTCCTCAGGCCTCCTCATTCTCTTGCCTTAGTGTTTCCACCGTAGCCATAAATCTCGTAATGTTGGATCATTATCAAGCGCCTCCATGTCCTCTTAACATAGGTGTTTTGCTTTGTTTGCTCTCTGTCATGCCTCTTCATTTTCTCGTCTCAACGTCTCTACTGCGACCATTATCTCTTGTAATGTAGGGTTGTTATTGATCTTTGCTTGATTTTTACGATATAGTCGTTCTGCTTCATCTACTCATTGATGCGCTTCTTCATTCTCGCATTGCAAGGTTTCCATTGTAGCCAAGACTTCTTCTAGAGTGTTGTTGTTAGCAGTAGGAATAACATCTTTGGCCCCACTAGTGCCCCCAACATTGGCATTGTTGGTGTCGTCGTTACTGGCTCCTACCGCATTACTTATTAATAAACTTGTCATCGTGAATCTCTACTCACGTCAAGCAACCAAGGCGTGGGATGCATTTTCACCTGTCCCACGGTGGGTGCCAAAATGTTTCGGTGTTGAAGAGCACCGTCGAAGAACCCTTGGCGATACAATGCTAAAAGAACTTGATAGTAGTCTTGGCCTAGAACATTCGATGAAAGTAACCTGTCTTGCTAGACCTAATCATCACTATATAAAGTGGTGTAATGCTATAAACATGAATCCCATTCTCTCCCTGTGATCCCATAAATCATGCCTTATTATGAACTTGTAACTCTTGGTGTTTATGGCCGTTATCTTGCTCATCCCACAGATCGTGAGATCTTATTTATTGTCTGAGTGAGCAAGTGAGTCCCCTCATATTTGAGTTCTTATATGTATAATTCCAGGCCTTGTTGATATAGAGCATTTGTCATTTATCCAAGAGACATCTTGATCAGTGGACTTGGCTGATAGGAGACTACCTCAATACAAAGCCCTCCAAGTTTGAGCATTGTGGAACGAAGAGTATGTTAGATTAGCATCTTGCAATGTGCCTTGAGTCGGTCCACGGGAAACCCACCACGATACATAGGATCAACATTTTACCGATGAGCCTTAGACCGGCCAATGGAAGACTATAACGGTACATAATCCTCCATGCTCGAACACTAAGGTACGAAGAGTATATCGAATTGATATTTTTCCCATGAGCCTTGGATTGGTCACGAGAGACCCCATGGTATATAATCTAATGAAAAATTTAAGATTTCCTTGAATTTCCTATCACTTCTCTCGAACCAAACAAACTTCATCTTCTCTGTTATTTACTTCTTATCTCTTCTTTTTTCTTTTCTCACCAATTCCCTTCACTTTCTTTCACTTGCATTCTTACCACGAAGTACAACATAAATCTACTTAGAACCTTCATCATACAAAAATATTAATATTTCTTTAAAATTATTGTCATAATAACCACCGTGAAAGAAAAGAAAAACTTCCAACCCAATAATTCTTAAAATAATGGTCCATTTCATTTTGAAAAATTTTAAAAATTCTAATAAAAAAATGTAATGGATTAAATTTGGGTCCATGCTATTTTAAGTTTTCAACCCATCCAACTCACATTCACCTATGACCCGCTGAACCCAAATAATTGGAAAAAAAATAAATTTATAATTATAAGGGTGAGTTTGGTTGGGATCTCCAAAAGATACCAATCCAGAAAATGACTACAAAAATTTTGCGTCCTTTTCTAGAGTAAAAGGAGATATTATCCAATGGAAAAGAAAAAATGTAAGCTAGGAGTAGGACGAGTGACATAATAGTAATAATAATTTGAGAAATTCTACTGTACCCATATTACTTGGAAGGTACCGGTACAGTTGTATTTATATTTATATTTTATATTTTATATTTTTAATAATTTATTTAAATAATATTTATGATATTTTATTCTTTAAAGTTTTAAATTATTTAGTTATTTTATTTTAATTTTATATATTTTAATTTTATTTGTAATAATATTATTATATATTTAAATAGTTTAATTTTAATAATTTTTTTAGTATATTTTTATCTTTTCACTTAAAATATTTGAATTTTTAAATTTTAATTTGAATTATTTTTTAAGTATATTTTTGTCTTTTTGTCTTAAATTTTTGAATTTCTATATTGTAATTTAAATAATTTTTATTTCTATTATTTATTAATTCTTT